ATCCAAAAAGTACCACTGAAACTTCGGACCTCCGAAAAACCATGTTCCACATGTTTTTTTGAAAAACAAGCCTAATGTTCTCGAGCTAACTTTTTATGCTCTACACGATGCATATATTGCTGCGAATATCACAAATTCTAGGCTTGGATGATTCCACTGATTCACAATTAATTATTAAACAGCTGTTGGAAAAGAGGTCGTCAAGCTTTAGTTGAATTTCAAGATGACATTGCATCGATTGATTAGGACCAAGAGATGAGTGACAGCACTGAACTACTAAAACTATTGAAGAATATTTTGAAAAACAATGGCAATCGATCACTGAACAATGGTTTCAAACATATTTAAATAAACAAAAACAAACTTCACCGGATTTATATGAGCGAATCCTTACTCGTACAGCTGAATATGGTTCAAAATATATGAAAGATAATCCACTGCTTTCATTAGTTATACAATTTATTTTTCAACTTGTTGGTGAAACATTTTTTTATATATAAAAAATATGAATAATTACTTGATGGCAAATAGAGAGAAATGAAAAATAGTTTAAGATACAACATCTTACTGTTGTTAAATGAAATGAAATAAGAAAGAACTCGTTTCCTATTAAGTTGCTGTTATCTTTATAGTTCACCGAAAAATAAGATAATTTTATGTAAGTTTGTAACATATGGTAAAGTTTCTATTTCCTGTTTGCCTTTTAGCTGGATCAGATAAGGAACTACCGGAGCAAATCGTAGTTTATTGCGCATGAAACAAATACGCAAATTTGACGTTGGAAAATTTTGTTTTGTTACTTACCATATGTTTAAAACTTTACCATATGTTACAAACTTACATAAAATTATCTTATTTTTCGGTGAAGAATTAGTCAAATAGCTATCGGTGTTTTTGACCAGTGACCCATTTACGCAAAAAGAGATCGAGTATATGATTTATTTTATTTTTTTTCCGTCAAATCCAGAATCTCCATGTAAAATTAGCCCATAGTAGCAAGTTTCAACATTTTCTGATGTATCTTAGGCGAGATATGGCAAAAGACCGACCGCAATTATCATATGGCTACTGCTGAACTTCGTTGTCGAAAATGTCAACAACTATTAAGAGGACTGAAAAACGGTTAATGCCCAATTGTAGAGCACGTTTAGCACCACAAATCTGCTGATCTGAATTTGTCTGGGAATATAGCCATTTTCTTTTTTAGTCATCAAAAGTTTATCATTTCTCATACACTGATATTAATACAAGCTCTACCACCAAGCAACCGTTTATATTCAAAAGTTGGTTTATATAGCAATCGATAGCTTATAAAGAGAGGAATTGATTACATATATTGCTGTTACTTAAAAGTGGATAGTGTAAGGAAAAAAGCTTTACCATTTTACCACCATTTTCGGTAAAAGGGCATATTTTGTTAATTATTCAAAAAATAGAATATAGGCTCCGAGAATTTTTCTGATTAAGCAGCTATAAAGAGCATAACTTGAAGTACACGAATATATTCTTAGATACCATCTATGTCGCTTATTGGTAGAGAACAATAATTTTCAAGTTGATCCTAATCGGAGATATGTGCCACCTCCACCGTCCAAGGGTATAACTTTTCGGAAAAGCAAATATATTTCAATAGTCACGAAGGATAGTTGAACAAACGCTGAAAGTTTCATCGAGTTTGAAGAACATTTTACGTATCCGGGAGATTACCCTCGTATTTTTTATTTTTATTAGGTTTTTCTTGTAAATGTACAAGAATGAAAAAAAAATAAAATGTTAAACAAGTTGACAATTAATTAAAAAAACGAACTATATATATAGTATAAATGCTACCAATAGGTCACGTCACATATTGCTATCTTGAATTTGTTTGTTGATGAACTGATTTATGAACAGACAATGTTCGTTGTTGACAAAAACCTTTCCCACAGTCTAAACATTTGAATGGTTTTTCTTTTGAATGAATGTATCTGAAAAACCGAGAGCGAAAGAACATATAATGCAATAAGTAATATAAAGGTCAATTTTTTAAATGCGTACTTATGATCTCGTAGATGATCTTGTCGTCGAAATGCTTTAAAACAAATATCACATGTAAACGGCCGTTCATTTGTGTGTGTTCGTACATGTATCGATAAATTATAGGATTTTGTAAAATGTCTTGCACAAAATTTGCAAATATATTCTTTTTTTCGTCTGCTAGATGAACAATAATAAGTGGCTATTTTCTCTACTTATAACTGGTTCTTACATACCGTTTTCCACCACTAAAAAGTTTTTTCATTAACGGCTGTTGGGGTTGTTGTTTTAACATTGATACAGGTGTAAAAGCACTGGTTTTTTCACGATCATTTTCAATAGATCTACTAAAACGTATAATTAAAACATTAATTACATTAACAGAAACAGTAATTTTTTTATCTAAGACATATAAGTTAAAGTAACCGTTTGTTGACTATATATATAGAGAGAGTAATCTATATATAGAAAAAGTTTACATATAGTTAGATCGTATTGGCAATTAATACTGTAGAGAATGAACTAAAACAAATGTTTTCCTATTCGTTGAACGAAAACTATTCAGTTTCTACACATATTTAATGTTATCAGAAGTAGTCGGAGAAATAATGCTATATCCAATGTTGTTTATTATTTCAACAAAGCAGGTGTTGGCAAAAGCAAATAAATTTACTTGATAGTTCCTATTCTTCTTTTTATTACTGTATTTTTCAGAACGATGGCCAGTCCCTCTTATATGTATCTATAATCTAAATTAGATAGAACAGATAATATACTCGTTTATTTTCAATCTATTTATATGTCACTTGACAATTACTTGCTAATGTAAACTTACACACACACACAAAATACGTTCTACTGCAACAAATTATTTATCATTCAAACCATAGTTGTAACCGGTCTAAAAATGAGAGGCCGACCGGAAAAAACGGCAGAAAACCGGCCGGTTTTCAAATATTTTCTAGACGGACAAGAGGGCGGAAAAACTTATTTTATTTTAGTGAAGAAGAGAAAAATGATAAAAATTTCAAAATCGGTCAACCATCGGTCGGTTTGAAAATCTTTCTAGACAGGCAAAAGACCGGTGGAGACTGGCCAGCCAGCTGCTCCGGTTACAACTCTGATTCAAACAAGAAAGCTGTATTTAAACTAGAGATTTATAATTGACACATTTTTTAACGAATTAAAGATGAGAAAATCCTTGTCAGGGCAGTCCCTTATGGCGCTAAAATGATGAAATTCCTCAAATTAACGATTAAGACGTTGTGACCACCAGGCGAGGAAGTTAAAAAAATGGCTCAAATCAAGAATTTTCGGGTATAAACTTCAACTTCTCTTCCTTTCGAAGATATAAGAGGAGTTTCAACAAAGATGAACATGTAGATCTGAAATGAAATAGTCAGAAAACTGGCTATTTCATTTTCTGACTATGCGTACATTTTCCTTGAAATTCTAGGCACTTTTTTTAACGATAAAGATATGAACTTGCACATTATAATTTATGAATATTATTTCAGCGAAAACGGTTCTGTCGCAAAACCTTCCAACTACGAATCTTTTTGACGGACTTCGGTAAGAATCTCTATTCCAGTTATTCTAAGTTAAAGATCATGAAATATTTATTAACTCAGAGAACCCTCTATTTCTAGATGCACATACACACCTACTTTAGACAATAAAGTGAAATTCCACTGGTGATAACTGCAGGTGGTAAATCTGATTTTGATTCTTTATCTTTGACAGCTTCCATAGCCAATTTGGTAAAATCGAACCGCCTCTTTTGCTCTTTCATTGTTGATTCTAAAGTAAAGTGTTATTGAAATAGAACACAAGATTCACAAAGTTCAAGAAAAAGTATCCTACCATTTTTAAGGTTGTTTCTACACGAAGTATTGTCTGATAGTGAGATACTGTTCATAGTGGATGGTGATTTATCACGAGGAATAAAATCTGTACTAACACTTGAATAATTATTGTTTATGACGCTAGTATTTGTCAATAATTCTTTTTGAACTCGTTGATCATTGGAGTCGGATGATGAAAGTGAAGTAACTAATTGTGGATAGTAAAATTGATAAAAAGCAGTAGTGGCGGCTGCTGCGAACGTTGGAGTCTGTTGTTGCTGATAGACAACTTTCATTGCTTGCCGTAATTCGAATGGTGAAACAAATTCTGTTAATGATTGCTCAGTTAATGGAACATTGATGGGTAAATGATGTGAAAGCGTTTGGTGAAATTGTGGCAGCATAATGGTGTGTTGTGGATAAACATTAATTAATGTACGAATCTGATTACTTGTCATTGACAATTGTGATGTTCTATCATGACATTTTGGATGATTACGAATATTAGAACTGAATGCTGGAGACATTTACTTCTAAAGGGATATGAAATAAGAAATAATTTTATAAATAGTCTTGTTTTGCTATTATAAACTATATCATTCCGAAATTATTTACTTTTTATCATGTTATATCTAATTGTTTGTTTTCACAAGTAGAATGGTACGAAAAAAATATTTCATGATCTTTAACTCAGAATAACTGATACATGGAATAATTATCGGGAGATTTTATTCTTAGCACAGGTAATAAACATCGAGGGAATTTCTCGCAGTCAACTATGATGAAAAAAAGCTAATGATTTAGAGCGTTTGCTTGAATCAGGCAATGCTAATAATATTGAGTTACGCACATAAAATTGCTTCTAATCTAAAAACTGGTGTATATTCCCGTCAAAAGGAGGATTTTCTGTCTAACAGGCTGCTATATCAAAAATATTAAGAAAGGACGGAAAACGATTTCTACAAGAAAATGGTCTGATATGATTTTGAGCGCAAATCGGCTAGAATTATCAGAAAATGCTTCGCGCTTCACCTGAGAACCTGTTTAAATTTCCACAATTTCAGAGAGAAATCTCTTACAATTTTTTATTACTGTCCTAAACAAAGGAATCCATCATCTATTTTAGACTTTTCCCGTAACTTCTAACTTTTTAACAAGAATTTACATATAGGAAGATAGAGAATTTCCTGCGCTTCAAAGTGAGATAGAAACAAACATTTCAACAATATGTCAGTGTGTAAAGCCATTTGGAAAATCTTGAGCTTAGATATTAGTTTTCGTATTTGCGTGAGTATTGATGTCTGCATCAGAAATCCTTTACCCGTTACAAGACCTCTTTTCTGTCAGAAACATATCAGGGTGACACAGTATCATTTTTTGGAACTAGATTTCTCAAATTTTTTTAGAGAATTTACACGGTATCCTAAGGAGTTTTTGAAACTTTTTCATGAATATAGTCAAAGTTGTATGGACTAAACGCGGTTTCTCAAGGTGATCAAGAATATCTCTCTTAAAGTCTTTGTGAGCCCGGATGATTTTACACCCGACACGTTTTTTAAATATTTGTTTCTACCTCACTTTGAAGCGCAGGAAATTCTCTATCTTCCTATATGTAATGAAACTAGTAAGATTGCGCTTACATTTCTCTAAGTTCCTACACAAATCTTAATAATATCGTGAGATCCAAAAATTCTAAGATTTGATAAGATGTAAGATGTTACTAAGAATAATTATATTTCTTAATAAGATTCATTCATGATTTACTAAGAATATTTTTAAATATTTTGTTCAAGTGCTGATAAATTTCTTTTACAGAGCCGAGTTCTGATTTGAATCTGCTGTCCTATTTTGTTAAAAATTGTAGTCGAACAACCGTGAAGAATGAAGAAATTTTTCATATTTTTAGACGTTCGTTTTGGGGCATTGACTCGTAGTACGAGCAAAGTCGTAAAGAAAACTAACACTATAAAACTGAGTTATATTTTTGATGTTACTAAATGCATCGGAGGAAAACAAAAGGGTGAGTGAAAGTAGAAACATAAAATCTTAATAAAAATCTTATAGATTATCTTAAAATGTAAGATTTTACACGATCTTAGTAGGATAATACTAAGAAGTGCCGAAGATTTTTATTAGGATTGGCTTTCTTTTATACAAACTCATCTTATATCTTATAATCTTACCTCATTATACCTATGATACTAAACTCATATCTCTATTACCAAAAACCTCTTTTCAAATCAAAACGCAAGTTTTAGAATCTACATTTTCTAAGCTTTTTAAATATTTTTTTAAAAATTTCACAGGATATTTCCACAGGCACTCAAATAAATGTTTATTATGGAGAAAATGATTCTCTACAAAATGACCCTGTATGATTTGAGAAAAGGAAGCTATAAATGCTCTGTAGATAGCCTCGTGTCATGTAAAATGCGAAATTTACAAAACAGAATTTTGAAAAAATCTTTTTGTAGGAGATGTATAATTTCTTTCCGAAAAGCTATGCAAGATCGTACTAGATATCATTTTGTAGAATTGTCTGTTCTACAATTCTGTTTTGATTTGAAAAGAGTTTTTTCTTAATTAAGAAATATGAGTTTGCAACTAAAACAACAGCTTTCAGACAGGGCCGTCCCAAACCCCAATTTTTAAAAATATTTGAAAATTTAATTTTTGATAAGCAGTAAAAAGTTAAGATAAGCTACAATGTACTACTATGATACCTTTCTTTTTTTTTTGCTCGTAGTTATGTCATTTTATAACCGACCCCCAAGATTGAAGAGGTCGGGACGGCCGTTCTTTTAGAATACTTTCAAACATCAATTATCTTACAAAAAGAAGCAGTTTTTTTGTCTTTGTAAAATATGAGAGAAAACAGCTCTTCGATATATTCATACGGCTTTTGCTTCTACTATCAATTTTGAATCGTCACCTAAACCTGTATCCATTGACAAAAGTTGTAAAGCAGACTCATAATAAGTACAAAGGACAAACGATTATGTTTTTCATATTTCCAAAAAGAGAGGGAACTCTTCCTCATATGAAAAACAGGCAACTCATTGAGTAGATAGTTTACAATCAGTTTACTATTGAAAAAAATGCTTTTTACATTCTCCCTGTTTGATAGTTGGAGAGAGTAAAAATCTTGAAAAATGTTAATAATTTGAATAGGAATGGTCAAAATGTCTTCTGTCCATATATCAGCAATCAATGATGATTATGGCATATTATTTCACATCTAGTATATTTAAGAACTACACATACCTGCTTTGGTTTTTTTGTTTACAATTTATTTTATATTTACAGTTTTTCAAAATTTTCTGACAATATAATGTCTTCTCACTTTAATAATATTAATATATATTAACAAGTTTTTTCCTATCATCAATCGACTTCTGATAAAAGTATACGTATGTATATGAGTACGAGTGAGAGGAGTAAACTTTTTTTCTTCTGTTCTTAAAAAAGATGAGTATCATAATTTCTATATATGTTATATGTATCAAAGATTATGCGCCTTTATCTATCTTTTTTATTTCCTTCTTCGTTTTTGTACAAATCAGCATCGAGAGTTGGAAGAGGTGAAAAGAAAACATGGCGACGACTCTCTTAGTACTTCCATTTCTTTTCCAACAGCAATTCTATTTTTTTAGAGAATAATGTTCTGGAGAGAGAGAGAGAGAGAGAGACTGGTTCAATAATCACTTCTGTATTATACTACTATTTTTCTCTTTTATAAATAAACCAATGAAAAATGCGATCATAAATGAATAATAACCAATGGAACGTTCTTGATTGGGGTGATATATAGGAAAAGATCAGCAACTATGATGATCTTTGCTGATAATTTAATATGAAGTAGGTTTTCACTAAAACAAGAAAAGTCAGTATTTCATTTGCTACTGAGTCGCCGAACTGTTCCAGGAGACTTTAATTAGATGCATTTGGGTTCATCTAAGAATGTTATTAAGCTAATTCATCCACTATTCCTATATCGCAAAAGGTACCATGAATAACTCAGTCTAGATTTATTTTTCTATGCACACACACACACACACACATACACTCATATATAGTTAGTGAACTAAAGTACTAGTTGACTATCGACCTAACGCCGATCCTTTCTCAGACTACGTGTGAATCGCATTTAACCGTGAGGCGAGGATCAGATTTAAATGAGTTCGATCAATGTAATAGTTGTCTATTTGAAATCGAAACTAGTTGTAAAAATATCTTTGAGCAATCAACTTTTTTCACTTTTCTCTTCTATATATATATATAACAAATGTTCAGCATAATAAACAATTATCAACAAATTAAGATAAGTAAGAGATTTGTCAATTATCTTCCAATACCATAAATATATTTAGACATTATCACATACCTGTCTTACTTTTACTTGGAGCATAAAAGACAATCTCTAACAATGCTTTTTATATTGTTAGTATGATATCAGCAACAAACTTGAATACGTTTTATCAACAGCTCGAGAAGAAATCTCAAAAAGTAGGATGTGGGTGAGAATCCGTACCCATTTCTGTCCACTATTTCCCTCCTGCTTTAAACACTGTATAGTCGTCTTAGTCATTTGATCCTTCTTAAAATAAAAGTGTAGTTTAAAAAACCCGATATCTTTCTGGATTTTTTCACAAAAAACCATAAAAGTTTTTTCAAATAACTCTTAAACCCAAAGGGTTTTAAAAATATCTCTAAATTATACTGTGCTTCAGAAAAATCCGTGTTTCTTCATCTTGTTTTTGCACTTTTAAACTACACTTCCTTGTAAAGTGAGTACTAATCTAACTGAATGTTCCTAAGTGGGTGCATCATTATGGCCTGTAACTATTGAAATTTTGTTAAATCTCTATAATGATAGACTTTCTGTAAAATAATTGTCTCAAAATGCAGTCATTTTATTAAAAAGAACAATGATTAACAGGACATCACTGAATATCTATAAGATACATATATACATATACTTTATTATTTTCCTTGTTTTTTACAGAATGTTTGCGGAGAATATTTCACGCGGTAATCTTATATCGTAATCCTATACCGTATATTATTGTATCGTTCAGTAACATCATACCTACACAAAATGAGCAAATTTTCTATGTTATGTAGCAACAAAATAAAAAAACAAGTTTATATTATCATTTGGTTGTTCCGCTTATGCGGCATATCTTTAACATCAACAACTTGCAAAATGAAAAAAATTTGGATAATGACGATATTAGACTTTTTGTTATTTAAATGTTAGTTAACTGGTGTTGTACATAGAGAAATAAATAAAACATATTTTCCTCAATGATGCACAGATTATGTTGCGTAGATTTTATGCTAAAATGAGATTATAGACAATTTTCAGTTAGAGCCGAGTCCGGTAATCTTTTAGATTCTTTTTTGACGAGGGTAGTTTGCAATAAGGTTACTTTGCATGTCCGTCCCCCAAACAAAATTTTCAATTTCTTGTGAAACAGAAGGTGTTGTTATTTCGCTTTTCATTTTTCTCTGTTCATTTATGTTA